TGGTCCATCTGTCTTGTTTTTAAGTTTGCACCATATGTTTTCCTTGAAGCACCATGACTTTTTAAATTTGTTTGTGAATGTGAAACATTTTGCATACATGTTTTTTATTGGCCATGTACACAAAGTTTTTAGAATCACAACCACTTTTAAACATAAGAGCAAATTAATTTAATAAATTATTGCACTGAACTGCACTACATATAAAAATAATACAGGAGTCAATCCTGATTCACATTTGATGCAACAATGTAAAATACAGTGGAAAAAAAATCTGTGGGCATTAAAAAGCAAGTTTTGTCATTTATTTGAACAGATTGCACTAGTTAATCACATCTTTAAAGTGATGCAGCAACAAACACAGCGTGAACCGTGATGTCCGATTTGTGAACAAATGACGCTTATGAGTTGGTTTTGATGAATCTGTAAAAATATTCACAAAATGTTCTGGATTTAAATCAGATTGAATCATTCAAAGCTGTTACTGAGAACACAGCTGACTCCCTTACTGAACTGAGTCATTTTATTTTGTCTTATTCGAAATGAACACTGCAGTGTGAACGCGGCCAGTTGCGATCTACATTTTGTTGTGTCAAATTTTAAATTTCCTTCTCCATCCAAGACTTTCACAGAATCAGTTCATCTTATGTTTGCATCACTTATCTTAACATTTATCTCCATGTTAACAACATTTTTAACTTCTCCTCTAACTCTAGCACTCTCTATTATAATGCTAATTTTAATTTTATTTGCTTGTTTTTTTATTTAAAAAATTTGACCCTCTAACATTTGCACTCTCTATTCTATTTCTATTCTAACTACTTCTTTTATTTAAAAAGAAAAAAAGAGCCTTTAACACTAGCATTCTCTATTAAAGAATAGAGAATGCTAGTGTTAAAGGCTCTTTTCTTGCTTTTTTCTCTATTCTTTTTACTTATTTTCTTTTTATTTATTATATGTGTGTGTGTGTGTGTGTGTGTGTGTGTGTGTGTGTGTGTGTGTGCTGCCACCGTCAACAGGATAAAAAGAACCGTAATAAAGAGACATCGCAGCACAATGGCTTCTTTCTGGTAAATATGTTTGACTACATAATTTTCACTAACTCAGACTAACAGTAACTAATTGTCATGCTTGCTGATTCAGCTCTTATGTCAAGGCTGGCCTGTCTGCTTGTCTGTCTGGACAATCGAATCGCTGAATCATTATCAGTTCTTGCAGCAGCAGCAGAACCGTGAGACATGTTCAGTATAGGGCAGAGCCATAGATTCACTTCAGATAAACTGAGCTCTCTCTTAAGCTCTGTACCAGTACAAGAGCTTTTATTTCAGAATTAATCATTTGTTGTATTTTATTAAGCTGCAGAACTCATGTATTCAAAGTTCACTGGTGCACAAATAACCACTGATAAGATATATAATGATGCATAAATGTGTGAATCTCACAAAACCTGTCATATTTCAAACAAAATGAAAAAGAATATAAATTGCATAAAGAAAATTAAGAAATTTTGTATAACCATAACGTTTTCGCATTTGCATTTTAATATATACAAATGTTAATGGTCCTAAAATCAGACTCCACTTTCTATCTAAAAATATTTTATATACTTCTAGTTATATATTTAATTATTATATTTTAAATATAATATTTTATATATTTCATATATTTTTTATTTTGGAGTCAAATATGACCTGGAAATGTTTTTGTGAGATTATCCTTAATATTACTTTCGTTCTTGGTGTAGCCTATACTTTTGCATTCTCTCTTATTGAGCAAATGAATGTCACATTGTCACACGCCACTATTGTACGTACACCCATCATGCATGTAATAAAAGCCGTCCTGACATGGTGTCTGATTATCATGTAACATATTGTCTGTAATATTGCTTTTCTCATGCTAATAAGAGATTTGTTGGCATCCTGGTGGTGTGAGAAGGTATAATATTCTCCCACAGAGAATAATAAAGCACACAGCATGTAATGTTTTAAACAGAACCTCAGCAGCAGTGCATGCTGGGAGATCACACTGATATGACATCTACCTTATGTCTATCAAGTGAACCCTGTGGAGGACTGCACACTGTTTGATTATGCTTATTCAGAACTGTCAATAATGATTTTAAAAAATAACCATTTGGCATCATGAGTCGAATGTATCTGAGGTTAACAAGTGAAGTGAAGTGAAGTTAACTTTTCCTCATGGTAAAAGATTTATGGTTTAATAATTCAGTCATGAAGAAGTCAGTCAAAGAATCACCCAGTTTATGTTTCACATAAACAACCCAACTCTCATGAAACAGCTAGTCATGTCAAGTGAATCAATAACCAGGATTATATTCTAGAGTTCTGGAAAACACAGTTCATTGCTATTGGAAATAATTAAGAGTCAAGACTCCATCACTTCTTTGTTTACATTTTACGCTTGTAAAACATGCTGTTCTTGAATAAGTTTTACTAAATGAGCTTTGAGTGTGTAATAACCTTTTAATTTCTCTTCAAAGCTGCATTAAAGTCAACATGAAATTATATTCACAACCCATTTTACCTAACTGGTTATTTAAAGAGAAAAATATAGGGTGGGACTTAAAAAATTGATTTATATACTGGTTGTTGCACGTCAGAGTCTTCCCTCTTGAAACACTGATTGTGACCATTGGTTGAACAGCCTTGATGATTTGTAATTATTTTAGCTAAAAAGCAAATTAATTTCTGCGATTATATGATTTATTAAATTTAATAAAAGGTTAATTTTTTGTGTGAAATAATATGCACCATGTCTTCTGCATCGAGCCCAGTGTTATGGAAGACTTTTGATTTTATGTTGACTTTAGCTTACCATTTTCTGTTGTTGTATGCTGTGATGCATTTTATGATTATGTAAACTCTTTTCTGTTCCAAAGAGTTTTCTAATGATGTAAAATATTTAAAGTGGACCTAAAAATTATTTGGACACCTAAGTAACACATAAAAATGTCTGAATATCATTAGATATAAAATTTCAAACAAGTGTCATTTTTTGGAAAGAAATATACGTTACAAGCAAACATTTTACAAAATTTCGTTTTTAGGCTCTAAAGAAATAGTTCACCCAAAAATGAAAATTTGCAGAAAAATGTACTCACCCTCAGGTCAACCAATATGTGGAGTTTGTTTCTTCATCGAAGAGCTTTGCCATTACATCACTTGCTCACCAATGGTTTCTTGAATGGATTCCATCAGAATCAGGCACGTGCACAGGTAGGGCTCAACCTGTGCAGAGCACATGCACACAAAGCGACTGAGTGATCCTCGTCACCTAGGTAAAATATATTTCTAAGACATTTATGATCGCTGATACACTTAATTTATTAACATTTAATCATATTATATGGTCGCATGGCTAATTCATGTTTACGCTGTTAATATGCATGTATTCTAGCTAGCTTTTTTTATCTAGTATTCTATACTGTCTGCTCGTCTTCAAATGTATAAACGTAGTAAAACAGTTTTACTACAGTAATGTTGTTGTAACCAAAAAAAAAACTTCACAGAATCAAATCACTGTGAAATCTTTACATTTTATCATGCATAATGTAATACGTTATATATATTACATAGCTAAAAAAATATGTTTCTTCAAACGTAATTTTATTGAACTTTATGTGTGCAAAGCAGAGAAAAATTGAATTGTGTATATACTGTATATATATATATATATATATATAT